AGACAAAACTGAAAGCTAAATACGGTCATAGCATGAAATCTATGCACAATAAATAGTTGATTTCATGCAGTTGCTAGCTTTTATTAGCAAGTCCAGGAACTATTTCAGTTGGTACGATGTTCCTGTCGATATCTTATCATATATCGACCTTCCTTTTAACCTCTGGATCTTAAAAGGAAGTATAAATACCAAGCTGGAGAGGCTAGTGGATGAAATTAGGTATCTTGCAACGACCCGCGACGAAAACTGATTTTTGGAATGTCTAAAAAATGCATCGCTGGTCGACGAACATATTTGTATTTAATATCCAAGATTAGTTTGATGTTTAAACGGTTTTGCCTCAAATATCAGATCTCATATGAGGCTTTGGAAAAATGATGAATATCAATACCTGCGTGAGATGAAGACAAACATCTCTCATTTTTCTTTTTTTCCTTTCTTTATCTCTTGATCTGTTTTTTTTTTTTCATATCCCAAGTTTGGCAACGTGAAATGATGGCTGACATTACAACACGATGTGTACAACATGTACATTATCATGAACGACGCGGTAATGTATCATTCGTTAAAAGGGCCTTTGTTCCACCCTTGGAAATGTCCAAATTATTTTGAAATAAAAGTAACTTTCCTGTAATAGACTCGAACTGGCCACTAATAGCTAATTACTTGTTCTAGCCGAACTCTACATACTTCGATAGTTATAATTATAAATATTTACGAAAATATCGCCGGCCAGCAGCGAAATTCAAATCAAAAGTATATATATAAGATTCAGTACAGCTTTTAACAACTATTCAGGAAGAGATGAAATGGAATTGGCTGCGATCTGGGCGGGAAATGTGAGTGATCTGACGTGGTTTCTGTGTGAAATGTTTTTGTGTGTGATTTATTTCGTGGAGGGTAAAAGGGGGTAATGTTTCTTTGACAATGCACGGTCCGAGTTCGGGAGATGCTTTGTGACTTTGATTAGAGGTATAAGATACATCATCAGAAGACATTTGGGCATCAGACTGGAGGGAAAATTTTGCCTTTCAGTGAACCTCTTGTCGCGGCATCTGCGGTGTGGTTTTGCCGACACCAAAGGAAAACCTCTGCGACCACATGTTCATGCGTACACAGTAGGCAATGACAGGAAGGTCGTCTAATTACGAATCAAAAATAGGACTGACAATTGGATTGGATGTAACTATAGAGAGAAATATTGATCACTTGGAAGTCATTTGGCTTATGTTAGGACAGGGGGGTCAGGAAGCGGCCGGAGGGGGATGTACCTCCCTCGGTGGTCATCCTGCAGCTGCAGAAGTAGGGGTGTGAAGACAGCAGCACGGCCTCCTGGAGGTGGAACGCCGATGCCGGAGAGGCTACGCCCTCGGTTCGACCGCCCTGACACGCCCACCCGCTTCCTGGACTCCTGCTGGGACTTTCTGTGCTCTCGTGGTATCGAGAAGGTCTCCAGGTGCGGCAGCTGGCTGAAGCTCGGCGGGAGGATCTGCACGTAGTAGGGCGCGGGGGCGGGGACAGGGTGCTGTGACCTCTCCGAGATCTCGGGGCCGATTTGCGTCACGTTGCCCGCGGACACCGACACCAGGTGCTGCCGCGACGGCTGGTTGTCCTGGTCGTGGCTCGGACTCGCGTGGCTCTGCTGCTGTGCTGGCGGTCGATGCTGTTGCTGCTGCTGCTGCCCTGAAAACTGCTGTCGGTGGAGCTGCTGCTGCTGTGGAGACGTCTGGTGACGCTGCTGCGGCTGGCCCTGGTGGGCGTGGTCTGAGCGATGTGGCAGCAGGAGAGGCTGCAGAGCTCTTCCTCGTCCCACGATCGTCTCCATGGGCGGGCTCCGGACGGGCGGCACCCGGAGAGGGCCGCCGTGGCCTGGCGAGGGGAGTCTTGGGGGCGCATCAGCTGGCAACGGGAAAGTCCGCCGAGGAGAGTCCCCGGTGGGGGGCTGGTTGGACCAGACAGGGCGCGGGTGCGAGGACGAGTAGGCTGCGCCATACGAAACGGACTCCCGGTTCTGGGCGGTCTGGGAGGGTCCGGGGCGCCCCTGACCCGAGCCCGAATCCAGGCAGGACGGGTCCTGGCAGTCGCGCTTCTCTTCGGCGACGCTTTGCTCTCGGCTGAGGACGCTGGCGGGGAGCGGGCCGAGGGTGAGGGCGCGGGCGCGCTCCCTCACCGGAATCTCTCCATCGATCACGCTGTTGTAATCTACGGGGCCAGGGATGTCCTCGCCCAAGCCAGGGCCTGTGTGGAAGGCGGAAGGATAGCGGTCCAGGGGATGGAAGCCGAAGCCCTCTTGCTGGAAGCCATTTATGCCTTCTATATGCTTGGTAAATTGCTGCGTCACGTCTATGACCTGCGGTTTCTCTAAGTTCTTCTCGGGCTTGTCTGTAGAGGTGGGTGACGTCAGAATCGGTCCCGAGGTAGAGGATACGGGCCAGGGACTCTTGGATGCAGAGCCCAGGGTTCCCGGAGGAGTGATCAGGTGCGAAGCCTCAGTTCCAGCCACGCTGCTACCGCCGGCAGGAGGTTCCGTGCCAGTTGCAGGGCTTGGAGAAATACCTGTGATCAGCTGATCGATTTCAGTTGAAGTTGCAAGGAAAGGATTGCTCGCTCTCGTCGAGAAGGTGCTGCCGAGCGTGCCTCCGGTCGTGAAGATGACCCTCTGAGGACTGTCACTCACTGTCGTCACGTCGACAATCGCCTCCGTCTGAGAGGCTTGCTCGGGGTCGCTGGTCGTCGACAGACTCTGCGCCGAAGTCGTCGGGAGAGTCACGAACACCTGGAACTTGCTCTGACTGTTCTTCTTCTTCTCCGCCGCGGCCACGGCGGTGGGGTTCGAGGCCTGGGGGAGAGGAGGCTTACCCGTGACCCCAGAGAGTGGAGGCGGGGGGTGCATGAAGCTAGTGAGGTTGTGGGGTCTGTTGGCCAGATCCGGAGCGGGGATCACGCTGACGGGGTCCTCGCTGCTCACCGCCACGTCCTCCGAGGCCTTCGGTGGCAGCGTGACCCTCCTGCCGGGCGGCCCCGCGAGCCTCACGTGGTCGGCCAGGGCGCTGGGAGGGCCCAGTCGAGGAGGCAGGCGTGGCTGTTGGGGCTGGCGAGGCTTCTGGAGCTGGTGTGCCAGGGAGGTCGTGTAAAGGCCCTGTGGAATCTCCTGGTAATTCGGGGGGACCTCGAGGGTGATCGACAGGAGTCCTTCGCCGCCGTCAGGTGCCAGAGGAACGCTGGGGAAGGCGTCGACGGGGCCAGGGACGACGCGGGTGTGGTTGAACGTTCCCTGAGACACGTTCTGAGTGACGTTCTTTCGAGGCTCCACGCGCTGCGCCACCGCCAGTCTCAGCCCAGGGACGTGGCGGACTTCGTTCTCGCTCTCCTGCAATGGGAGGGACAAGGTCAGCGCTTTGGCGAATAGTAATCATAATAGGAATAATAATAATAACAATAACAATAACAACAATGACAATAACAAAATAAAAATAATAACAATAATATTTTTGATAATGATAATGATAAGAATAATTACAATAATAATAACAACAATGACAATAATGACAATCGTAATGATGATGATAATAATGATAATGATAAAGATAATGATAATGATAATAATAACATCAATAATAATAATATTAACATTAATATTCAATATAATAACAATAATTGTAAAATAATAATAATATTCACCTTGTGTTTCTCGTCGCCGCCGGCCGCGTGTTCTGGCCTGGTGTCTCCCAGGGGCCAGGGCGTGATGGGCGGTCCGTGGGGCACCTCCCTCGCCGGACACTCCCCTGGCAGGAGGCTGAACTGCATCACCTTCTCGGACACTAAGGTCGTTCCTCGGTTACAGAAGGAGAGGCTGCAGGAGGTACAAGGAGAGTGTATGTGTTAATTTTTTTTTTTTTTTCATTTTTAATAATTTTTTTCACTTTCTGTCATTTGTTCTATACTGTTTTGTTTGGCTTTCTATTCTTTTTGCTTTTATTTATTTTCTTTCATTCCCTCTCCCCGCTTTGGGCCTTTTTTTTATCCTCTTCCTCTTCTGGTTTTATCCACATCCTCCCTCCCTCCTCCTCTTCTTCATTTTCCTCTCCTTTTCTTCTCCTCTTCCTTCCTTTTCCCTCTTGCTCCCCTTCCTCCCCCTTCCCTCCTCCCTCCACCCCGTCTTCTTCCCTCTACCCTTCCTCCTTCCTCCTTCTACCCTCCCTTCCTCCCACCTTCTTCCTCCCTCCTTCTCCCCTTCCTCTTCCCTTTTCCTCCACCCTACCTCCTCCCCTTCCTCTCTCCTTCTCCCCTCGTCCCTCCTCCTCCCATCCTTCTTCCTCTCTTCATCCATCCCTCCCCCCTCCCTATCCCACCCTTCACCCCCAGACACTCACGTCTTCCCGAAGCTGTCCATGAGCACGATCTGGTCGACGGCCCAGCGGGAGAAACCGGAGTAGATCCTCCACCCTGCTCTCCTCCCTTCTCTCTCCTTCTCCCACCTTCTCCCTCCCTACCTCCTCCCCATCCTTCACCCCTCCCTCCCTCCCTCCCCATCCCTCCTCCCATCCCTTCCCCCTCCCTATCCCCCCATCTTCCCCCAGACACTTACGTCTTCCCGAAGCTGTCCATGAGCACGATCTGGTCGATGGCCCAGCGGGAGAAACCGGAGTAGATCCAACCCTTATAGGCCGTGTACCGCAGCTGCACCGTCACCTCTGAGATGGCCGGGTGGGGCACGAGGATCCGCATGGTCTTGCCCCGGCCTCCATCGCCTCGTCTTCGCTTCTGTTGGGGGGGGAGGGGAAGGGGAGAGGAAGGGATGGGGAGGTGGGAGGGGAGGGGTAGGGGGGAGGGAGGGGAGGGAAGGAGGGGGAAGGGAGGGGAGAAGGGGAGGGAGGGAAGGAGGAAGAAGGAGAAGAGGGGTAATGAGGAGGGAGAGGAAGAGTAAAAAGGAAGATGGGGAGGAATATGGGTAAAAAGAGGAGGAAGGGAGAGGAAAAGGAAAAAGAGGAGGAGGATAGAGAGGAAGAGTGGGAAGGGGGAAAGTGGAAGAGAAAGACAAATAAAGAGAGGTAAAGGAGGGAAAAAGAGAGAGGACAGAGAAAGAAGAGGAATAAAGAGCAGGAGAGAGAACAGAGGAAGAAGGAGAATGAGACGAAAAAGAAAAAAGGAAGGGAGATAGACGAATGAGAAAGAATCGAAGAGAAAAAATGGAGAAATAGAAAGGAAAAAAATGTGTGGGAGGAGATGAAAAAGCGAAAAAATAATAGAAAAAATAGAAAAGTGGAAAAAACATAGATAAAAAGAGTGAAGAGGACGTGAGGGGGAAGAAACGGGGAGAGAACGAGAAATCACATCTTTAGAATCAACATTAGGAAGCAAAAATAAATAAACAAAATAAACAAAAGATAAAATAATCATATAATCATTATCATCATTTCAAACAAAAACCAAAAAAATACCTCGATATACAAAAATAAACAAACAAAAACAAACCAAACAACAAAAAACAAAAAAACACACAAAACAAAAACAAAAAAAAAAAAAAAAAAAATTACCTCGTGAGCTGCAGCGTCTCATTAATTCCATCCGGGGCGATAAAAGTGATATCAATTCTCCCGTAAGTGGTGACCGGGTCAGCTGGCGGTCCTCCAGAATGCCGGACGGTGACCTTGTACTGGTTCGCTGCAAGATTTAGATTTTAGATTTTAGATTTAGTTGCAATGTCATTTGTTATGATGGGTATTCTTTGCTGTGATATACTGTCTGTTTTTTGTTTCTAAATCTCCCCCCCCCCGTGTGCGAGGAATGGGGAGAGGTTAGATCAGTAGCAACTCGAGGTGGTGTCATGTTTTGATGATTGTTCAGTGAAAAATATAGCCATTAGAATAATTATTTTCCATCTTTTTGAAAATTGAAAAGACCAATACGATCGACCATATTCTTTGTTTTTGTCTGTCTCATCATATATATATATATATATATATATATATATATATATATATATATGTGTGTGTGTGTGTGTGTGTGTGTGTGTGTGTGTGTGTGTGTGTGTGTGTGTGTGTGCAAGTATATATATATATTAATATATATATATAATATATATATTATATATATATATATACATATATATATATCTCTCACTCTCTGACTTGCTCCTCACGCACTCTCTCCCTCCCCCTCCCTCTCCTTCTGACTCCTTCCCCCTCCCCCTCCTCCTCCCCCCTAACCCCCCTCCCTCTCCCCTCTCCCTCTCCTTCCCTCTCCCCTCCCTCCTTCCCCCTCCCTCCCTCCTTCCCCTACCCTCCCCCCCCTCCCCCTAACCCCCCCCCTCACTCACCGCAGAAGGGCTCGGTGTCCCGCGTCACGAGGTACAGCTGCCCGCGCCCCTCCGCCTTGTCCGCGAAGTAGCCCATGTTCCCGCATTTCTCGCACGGGAAGCAGTCGCCCCTCACGAAGCTCTCGAAGTCCCGGCACACGAACGACGGGAACTTGCAGATGGGGGCTATGGAGTCGAGGTAGTACTTGTAGCCCCGTCGGTGGTTGCACAGGTACCGCCCGTCGCCCTCGGTGGCTGCAAGGGGGGGGGGGGATGGTTTTGTTCATGTGTTTTATGCATTGTTCGTAAGTACTAATTTGGGGAAGTCGAAAGAAATGGGGAATAATAGTAATGGTGATGATTCTATATGTGATGTAACTATAAGAATGTGATTCTAATTGTAATATAACTATAAAAAACTGAACTATAGAACTATAGAAAAAAAGAACTTTATGAGAAACAGAAGAGGATGAACATTTTGATAGAAAAAGAACATAAACAAAAATAAAAACAAAAAATGACAATAACAACAAAACAAACATAAAAAACAAAAAATAAAACAGAATAACAAAAACAAATAAAAAAAAACAAAAATCCTCCAAATCCTTACGCCACAGGATATCCGACACGCCCCCGACGAAGAGATTGGCGCAGCCCTTCTGGACGCGGCCGCCGTTCGGATAGAAGTCGACGTGGCCCATGGGTTCGAACGCGCCCAACCCGCCCATCAGCAGCGAGTCGGCGTTGGTGTGGATGACGTCGACCATCTTGGCGTCAGTGAAGTCCAGGCGCACGGAGGGGGAGTACGACTCGAAGAGGGGGCCGGCGGGGTCGAGTCCTGCGGGGTGGGAGGAGGGGAGGGGGGGGTCAGGAGGTGGTGGAGGAGGAGGATGGACCGTAGGGTCGTGGTGATTAATGTAAAAAAAAAAAAAAGGTGTGAGGGAGGATGAATATCTTCGCAGTGCAAGAGATGTGTTCAAATGGTTTCGAATATGGCCTCGACAATGATAAAGATGATGATTATAACAACGTCGATAAAGATGATTATCCTAATAGTGATAACTATTGATATTAAGAGATGGGGTTTATGCGACAAAGTTAGTGCACGAGTAGAGAGCCTGGAGGGTAAAACTCCACAAAAAATATATATATACAACTTAGAAAGAAAAATGAAAAAGTATCAACAAACATTTTTCAAACTACAAACCACAATTTTTGACATTTTCGATATTCCTAACAATGCACATGACCTCATCTGACCTGAGATCCTGGAGAGATTCTTGAGCCTGGCCCCAGCGTGACCCGAGACGTGGGCCCCGAGAGAGAATCCAATGAGATGGAAGTCGTCCAGAGTCGTGTTGAGATAAGCGTTCATCGTCTCAATCAGCACCGCCACCTGCAGGGTTTTAAGGATACGTTCTAGTCAGTGAGCCGATCCGCTGCCGTGTGTATTTATTATTTTTTTTTATCGTTCTTTCTCTTTATATATCGTATGGGTTTTGTTTCTTTTCGGCGGTTTTTGGTTAGGTTTTATCTTGTATTTTTTTATTTATCAGTATAATTATTTCGCACAAAAAGAAAATATTATGTAATAAATCATTCTTCTGGTCCAAAGATTTGAAATATGAAACTTTATCACATAAAAAAAATTATTAAGTTTGTACTTGTCATACCAAAAAATTCAAATTTTTGAATCATAAAACAGTTCTTTATATTCATATTGTAACATTATATCCTTCAACATCTACCATACTTAAATTTACACAAATTATCACAGAGACCATTCCTACATCGTATTCAATCAACAAAAAACAAACAAATACACAAACACCACGAAACAATCATTTAATTCAACATACCAAACAAACAGACAGAACTTAAAAAACATGTCAATAGATGGCGTTGATCATCACATTACCTGTCGACCCACAAGACGCGTGTTGCTCGCCGCCCGGACGTAATTCGGGACTTCGGCGCCCTTTTGCCAGTTCACGCAGATGATGTTGACGTCCATCTGTTTTGGGAGGGATCGTGAGCGGTGAGTATAAAATGTGGTGGAGAGGGATGGTGAGTATAAATGTGGTTGAGAGGGATGGTGAGTATAAATGTGGTTTGGAGAGGTGGTCGATGGTGAGTATAAAATGTGGTTGAGAGGGATGGTGAGTATAAAATGTGGTTGAGAGGGATGGTGAGATGTGTTGATGGTGATGGATGTGAGTATAAATGTGGTTAAAGGGATCGATGTGGTTGAGAGGGATGGTGAGTATAAAATGTGGTTATGGTGAGTGTAAAATGTGGTTGAGAGGGATGGTGAGAAATGTGGTTAAGAGGGATGGTGAGTGTAAAATGTGGTTGAGAGGGATGGTGAGTAATCATGTGGTTCTGAGTATAAAATGTGGTTGATGGTGAATAAAACCATGTGGTGAGTATAAAATGTGGTTGAGAGGGATGGTGAGTATAAATGAGAGGGATGGTGAGTATAAAATGTGGTTGAGAGGGATGGTGAGTATAAAATGTGGTTGAGAGGGATGGTGAGTATAAAAAGAGGGATGGTGAGTATAAATGTGGTTCAAAGGGATGGTGAGTATAAAATGTGGTTGAAATATTCTTATTATTTTATTTTTTTAGTGAAAATGTGAGATAAGTAATGATGAATATATATATATATATATATATATATATATATATATATATATATCAGGGGAGTCTGTTTGTCACTCTCCTTCCCCAAGGGCCATCTATATAGGTCCTGTTGTAGCTTTAAAATGCTCCTAGAATAAGTCTTTTTGAATTTCGTTAAAAAGCTAAAATAATGCTCCTGATATATATATATAATATTATATATATATATATATATATATATATATATATTTATTTATTTATATATATATATATTCTTTTTCACTTTTTTTATTATGTGACTATTCCATTAATCGCGTTATCATTCTTTTTTTTCTCTTTGCCTTATCGTCTTTTCTCTTTTTCCCTTTCTTATTTCTCTCTATCTCTCTCTCATTCTCCCCTTTCCTTACCCTTCTCTATTCCTTCCTATTCTCTTATTCTTCCTCATCTCTTTAACTTCCCCTTCTCTTTTCCCTCTCCCTTCTTTCACCTTCCTTTTTCTTTCTTCTCTCTTTCTCACCCCTTCTCCTTTATTGCTTATTCCGTTTTCTATTCTCCCCCATCCTCCTATCCAATCAACCTACCTCTTTCAACCACTTTAATTTTTCTCTTCTTTCCCCTGTTCCCTTTACTCCCACACTCTATCCCTCTCTTCTCCCCCACCCTCCCTCCCCTCTCCCTCTCCCTCTCCACCCTCTCCCTCTCCCTCCCTCTCTCCTCTCCCACCCTCCCCCCTCTCTCCCCCCCCTCCTCCCCTCTCCTCCCTCTCCCTCTCCCCACCCTCCCCTCCCTCTTCCCCACCTCCCTCTCCCACCCTCCTCCCCTCCCTCCTCTTCCACCCTCCTCTCCCTCTCCCCACCCCCTCCTCCCCTCTCTCCTCTCCCACCCTCCCTCCCTCTTCCCTCCCTCTCTCCCATCCCTCTCCCTCTCCCCACCCTCTCCCTCTCTCTCCCTCTCCCCACCCTCCTCCTCCCCACCCTCCCCTCTCCCTCTCCCTCTCCCTCTCCCACCCTCCTCTCGCACCCTCCCTCTCCCTCTCCCACATCCTCTCTCCCCACCCTCCCCTCCCTCTCCCCACCCTCCTCTCCCTCTCCCCCCACCCCTCCCTCTCTCCTCTCCTCTCCCCACTCTCTCTCCTCTCCCTCTCCCTCCCCACCCTCCCTCTCCCTCTCCCCACCCTCCCTCTCCCTCTCCCCACCCTCCCCTCCCCTCTCCCCATCCCCACCCTCTCCCTCTCCCTCCTCTCCCTCCCCCTCTCCCACACCCCCTCTCTCCTCTCCCTCTCCTCTACGCCTTACCATGGTGAGGAGCGCCACCCTCATCTCTCGAATCCACACGCTGTAGCAGGAGGACCCGAAGCCGTGGATGAGCATCTTGGTGGGTCGCGACGCGTTGAAGGTCGAGTCGATCAGAGTGGTGATGTTCTGGTAAGTGATCAGCTTCTCTCTGTCGGGGCGCTCGCGTGTGTACAGGAGGAATCGCGAGTTGATCTGCAGGGGGTAATGGCGATGGGTGTTGAGGTGCTGCTGCTTTTGGGGGGAATGTTGGTGTGTGGGTGATGGTTGAGTGATGGAAGTGTTGATTGAAGGATGGTGGTGGTTTAATAAAAAGGGTAGGTGGATGGATAGTGATGGAAAGGAAAATCGATTTTTTTAAAGGATCAATTGGTTTGATAAAAGGATAAGTGAATCGTGTGATGGAAAGTTAAATCGATTTTTAAAAGGATAATGATGTTGGTTTAATAAAAGGATAAGTGAATGGACAGTAATGGAAAGGAAAATCTAAATATTAGGTAATATTTGTTTTCTATTTCCTTCTCCCTTCCCTCTGGTTTTTAAGGGTAATGATGTTACTTTAAGAAAAAAAAAGACAAGTGAATGGACAGTGATGGAAAGGAAAATCGAAATATTAGGTAATTTATCTTTTCTCTTTCCTCCCTTTGTTCATTATTCCCTCCCCCTACTTTTCCCCATATAAGGGAAAAAAAAATCCGGGGACCGTATGTGAACGAGCCGCATACAGAGCGCGCCGCCATTTTCACATCCGGTAAAAGATGTAAACAAAAACACACCTCCTCGGGCGGTGAAGGAAGCATGTCCAGGTAGTCGAAGGGTCCCTCGTCCCTGAAGCAGCCGAGGTCCTTGTAACACACAACTTCCTCGTCCCTCTTCACACGGCGCTTCCTGCAGGAGGGATGGAAAGGGTAAATGAATCTGCGTAAGAAATATGGCGGGGATGGTAAGGATTTTCATGTGAAGTTTGGAGAAGTTAATGAACTAATCATTTAATCAAATGGTGAAACAAACTAAAATAAGTTATATTGAAAGCAATACAACGATGAAACGATATAATGCCCACGTCAACATGTAGAAAATCAATCTAAAAGACAATGCAAAACAAAATAAGTAGAGAGAGAGAGAGAGAGAGAGAGAGAGAGAGAGAAGAGAGAGAGAAAGAGAAAAGAGAGGAGAGAGAAAAAGAGAGGAAGAGAGAGAGAGAAGATATAGAAAGAGAGAAAATCCCGGACTCACCCGTTTAGCTTCTTCTGCAGCTGGTTGAACTCCCACTCCGCCATGCTGGTCACAACGGCCTCGAGGATCTTCAAGTCCTCCACCTCGTCCTCCATTTCGACGTCCGGCCGGCCCACCAGGAACCCGTGGGAGTCGTGCATCTTCTTCTTCAGCGCCTCGTCCAGGTGGCTCTTCTTCTTCTTCTTCTTTAAGTCGTCTTCTTCATCGGTTTCGTTGTCTATCAGCTGGAACCGCGGCGGCAACCACTTCTTGGCCTTGCCCCTTCGTCGCTCTTTCACGTGTTCTTCCGCTTCGGTATTCGCTTTTGTTTCCTTCTCGCTCTCTTCCTCTGCTTCTGTCCCTTCCTTCGCTGCCTCTTCGTCTCCTTCTCTCTCGGTTTCTTCTATTATATCGTCCTCTTCGCCTCCCGTCACCTTTATTTCCACTTCCTTTCCTATCATCTTCAGTTCTTCCATATTTTCTTCTTTCTCACTTTGCTCTTCACCGTTATCTCTTCCTTCCTCTTGTTTATCGACATTTTCTCCTTCCTCCGTCGGATTTTCAGTCAAAGAAACCTCAGCAGATAAGGTGGTGACGTCCAGACTCTCTGTGACGTCATAGTACTGATAAGAGCTCTCGGTGACATCATCCATGACGTCATAGCTATCGGTGAAGACGTCATAGGTTTCAGTAGTCATTTCGGGTGAATCGAAGCTCACCGTTGAGGATTCTGATTGGCTGGGTTCATCCGTTACGTCATCGAATTGGTCTGAACTCTCCGTGTGATCTATAGTTAAGGTATCCTCCGTCCAGCCTTCTTCCGTGACGTCATCAACTGGGTTTTGCGTTTTCGTGACGTCATTATCTGGGTTATATGATTCCGTGACGTCACCATCTGCGTTATATGCATCTGTGACGTTATCATCTGGGTTTTGCGTTTCTGTGATGTCATCATCTGGATAATGAGATTCCGTGACGCCATCATTTGGATAATGCGCTTCCGTGACGTCATCAGCTGGATATTGCGCTTCTGTGACGTCATCAGCTGGATAATGCGCCTCCGTGACGTCATCTTGCTTCAGTGACGTCATCAGCTGGATAATGCGCCTCCGTGACGTCATCTTGATTGGTTCCTTCCGTGATGTCATCCGTCAACTCATCCTTATCCTCGGCCTTGCCAGTGTTCCCGTCACTGCCTCTCTCTTCGCCGGCGCCGCCCTTCTGCTGGCCATCCCCCGTGGCGATATTATTCTTCACATCTTTCGTGACGCCCAAGAGGAATTTGCCGTTCGTCCTGTCCAGGAGGTTCTGAACCCTTTCGAGGGACTGGCGCCCGCCCTGCGTCGCCGCCAAACCGCCTTTACTGGTCTTCGAAATGGACCTCGTGACGTCATCGCCGGAGGGGAGCGCTGATTGGCGGAGCCCGAGGTGGCCGGCCTGGCAGTCACGCCATTGGGCGACGGTGAACAGGACAAAAGCTGCTGAAAAAAAAAAGAAAATGGGAAACGTTATTATTCAACTCACGGCCTTGACTTTAACCGGTGAAATACAAGATAATGTTTGCGTAGTGAAAGTAACATTAAAAATGGTTAGGCCTTTGTCTGTCTCGTTTCCCGCCCTCCCCTTCCCCGCCCCGACCCGGAAAATAATGGATTCCCTTCTTTCTTTTTTTCATTGACAATTTCACTTTCTCTTCGTTTCGGGAAAGTGGGTATGGAAGAAGCCAAATAACTTACATAATGAGAGAGTAGATCGACCGTCTCATTATTCTCCTTTGTTCGAGCTTTCTTACGTAACAAAGGGACGGCAGAGATGGCCACAAATACCGTCAAAACTTCGTTTCTTTTTATGTATGTGTGTATGCAATGTTGATGTATGCAGAAGTATGTATATATACGCATACATATATTAATATGTGTATATATATGTATACATATACGAATATGTATATATATATATATATATATATATATATGTATATATACATACATATATATATATATATATATATATATATATATATATATATATATATATATATATATGCACGTATAATATGTATATATATACACACACATGTATGCATATATATATGTATATTATATAATATATATATATATATATATATATGTATATATATATGTATATATATATATATATATATATATATATATATATATATATATATATATATATATATATATATGTATGTATGTATGTGCCGTGTATACATATACATATATATGTATAAATATATATACAGACATGTGTGTGTATATATATATATATATATATATATATAATAAATATATATTATATATATGTATAATATATATATATATATATATATATAATATATATATATATATATATATATATATATATATATATATAGTGTGTGTGTGTTGTGTGTGTATGTGTGTGTGTGTATGTAATATATATATATATATATATATATATATATATATATATATATATATATATTATATATATATATATACATATATATATATATATATATATATATATATATATATATATATATATATATATATATATGTGTGTGTGTGTGTGTGTGTGTGTGTGTGTGTACATATATATATATATATATATATATATATATATATATATATATATATATATATATATATAATATATGTGTGTGTGTGTGTGTGTGTGTGTGTGTGTGTATATATATATTGATATTGATATTGATATTGTTAGTGATACAGACCTACAAAAATAAAACAACATAAATTCGAAAACATCTGCAGTAAAACAAACATGAAAATGGTCGGATTTATTACAACATGTCCACACATAAAGGGCCGTTAAAGAGTGTATTTAGGCTCGTAACCGAAAAAGGTCAGAAAATGCCGATATAAACGAATGCATTCCCGACAGACAGACAGACAGACAGACAACTTTCACTTGTAATGTGATCTCCCCCTCAGGTTGGCCCAGGTAGAGGGGGGAGGGGCGGGGGGAGGGGGAGGAAGGGAGGGGCGGGGCGGGGGAGGGGGAAGGGGAGGTTATCCTACCTTCGGGATCATTCATTTTAAAGCTGCAGTTTTAGGTCTCGCTCCTCCCCCTTTCCCCGCCCTTTTCCCCTCCCCATCTCCCCCTCCCCTGACACCTTACCCTCCCCCTGATCCTCCACCCTCCCCTCCCCTACCAGATCCTCACCCTCCCCTCCCCCTATCCCTGATCCTCCACCCTATCCTCCCCCTCCCCCAACCCCTCTCCCTCCCCGTCATCCCTTACCCACTCCCCCTACCCTCCCCTATAGCTCCTACCCTCCCCTTCCCCCCTCCCCCTTCCCCCCCTCCCCCTTAGCTCCTCCCATCCCCCCCCCCACCTGTCCTCCTCCCGCGCTTCACTCATCTCATCGGCTCCTCCCATTCGGTCGAATTTCTCCAGATTTATCACGGGAGGGTCGACCGTAATTGCCGATGCTCTCTCGCTTTCCCCTTTTCCAGCATCCGCGTGACAGCTTCATTAGCGAAGATGGATATTGGCGGAATACGGAAAGAGGGAGGAGAGAGAGAGAGAGAGAGAGAGAGAGAGAGAGAGAGAGAGAGAGAGAGAGAGAGAGAGAGAGAGAGAGAGAGAGAGAGAGAGAGAGAGAGAGAGAGGAGAGGAGAGGGAGGGGAGAGAGAGAGAGAGAGAGAGGGAGGGAGGAGAGAGAAGAAGAGGAGAGGGAGGGAGGGAGAGGAGGGAGGGAGAGAGAGGGAGAGAGGAGAGGGAGAGAGAGAGAGAGAGAGAGAGAGAGAGAGAGAGAGAGAGAGAGAGGAGAGGGAGGGAGAGGAGGGAGGGAGGAGGGAGAGAGGAGGAGAGGAGGGAGGAGAGGAGAGAGAGAGAGAAGAGAGAGGGAGGGAAGGAGAGAGAGAGAGAGAGAGAGAGGAGAGAGAGAGAGAGAGAGAGAGAGAGAGAGAGAGAGAGAGAGGAGAGAGGAGGAGGAGAGAGAGAGGGAAGGGAGGGAGGGGAGGGAGGGAGAGAGAGAAGGGAGGGAGGAGAGAGAAGAGAGGGAGGGAGGAGAGAGAGGGAGGAGAGAGAGAGGGGGGGGAGGAGAGAAGAGAGGAGAGAGGAGAGAGAGAGGGAGGAGGGAGGAGAGAGAGGAGGAGGGAGAGAGAGAGAGAGAGAGAGGAGAGGGAGGGAGAGAGAGGAGAGGAGAGGAGGAGAGAGAGAGAGAGAGAGGAGGGAGGGAGGGGAGCGGAGGAGAGAGAGAGAGAGGGAAGAGGGAGAGGAGGGAGAAGAGAGAAGAAAAAAAGGTTTCGAGGAGGAAAAGAACTGACGAAGAAGGAGGAGAGAAAGAGAGAAGAAAAGGTGTTCGAGGAAGAACAGGACGTAGAAGGGAGGAGAGAAAGAGAGAAGAAAAGCGTTACAGGAGGAAGAACAGGACGAAGAAGGGGAGAGGAAGAGATGAGAAGATGGAGAAGGAAGAATAGAGAAGAAGGGAGGAGAGAAAGCTAAAAGAAAAGTAAGAAAAGGAGTTCGAGGAGGAAGAAGGGAAGAGAAGAGAAAGATTATGAGGAGAGGAAGAGAAGTGAAGATGTGGAGAAGAAAGAATAGAGAAGAAGAAAAAGATAGGAAGAGGAAGAAGAAAAAGAGGGGAAGAGAAGAGAAGAATAGATGCAAGATGGAGAAGCAAGAACTGAGAAGAAGAAAAGGGAGAGGAAGAGATGATAAAAAATGAGACTGTGAAGGGGAGAGAAAGAAAAGATGCTGGAAAAGAAAATAGAGAATCGAGAGATGAAAATAGAGAAAGAAGATTAGAAAAGGAAGAAAAAGTAAAGACTGAAGGAAGGAAGAAGCAAACAAAGAAAACAAAAATAACAAGAGATAAATAACAAAGAACAGAGAACAAAAACAAAACGAAACCAAAATAACAAAAACAATAACAAAAGACAGACGAAGAAACCAACGAAACACGAAAACAAACAAATAACAAAAACAAACAAAAAAACAACAAAAAAATAACAATAACCGGTGATGTTCTCTGGCCGTTCACGAGAACAAGAGTGTTGGTGAGGACGAAATCCCCCCCCTCCCCCCCCATTACCCCTACCATCGACGGTGGACGGAGAGGGGTGGGGGGTGTTCTTGTTTTGTTCTTGTTCTGGTTGATATTATTGTTTTTAATATTGTTATGGTTTTTGTTATTGTCATTGGTGCTATGAGATTGTTAATAATGGTATTTTATTGTTATTATTATTATCATTAATTTTATTATAATTATTATCATTATTTTTCATTATTATCATTATCTTTATTTTTTATCATTATTATTATCATCATTATTATTATTATTATTATTATATTATTATTATTATATTATCTTAATATTATTATTATTATATTATTATCATTATTATTACTCTTTCTTTCTTTGTTTCCTTCTTACAAATTCGTCTTCTCCTTCTCATTTTCACTCTCTTTCACTTCTCTTTCTCCCTCCCTCCCCCCCTCTCTATCTGTCTTTCCATCTAACTATCTGTCTATTTATTGATCAATCCATCTATCTCTATCTTGACTCGTTTCTCCTCTCTCTCTTCTCTTCTCTCTCTCTTTCTTTCTCTCTCTCTCTCTCTTTCTCTTCCCTCTCTTCTCTCTCTCTCTCTATCCCACTCTCTCTCTCTCTCTCTCCTCTCTCTCTCTCTCTCTCTCTCTCCTCTCTCTCTCTCCTCTCTCTCCTCCTCTCCTCCTCCTCCTCCTCCTCCTCTCCTCCTCCCTCCCTCTCTCCTCCTCCTCCTTCCTCCTCCTCCTCCTATCCCAACCTCATCAGCACCCCACATACCCAGCATTGTAAATTACACATTATCACAGCCCCCATCATTAACACCCCCCCACCCCACTATCCCATTCTATCCCCCCACCCTCCCCATAGCTAATAAATCACCCCCCTCCCCCCCCCTCCCCCACAGCTCTCCACTTTCCCCTGCACAGGATTTTTATTTTTTATTTTTTCGCTGCATGACGTATAGAGTACAGACAAATGTTGTTTTTTTTTCGCGCAATATATATATGTGAGTGGGAGAGGAGGGGAGAGGGGAGTGGGAGTGGGAGAGGT